ATACGGGCACTGTGATCATAGGTTCTTATTCTATTTGTAACTGCCATTAATTTTGGCATGCGTTTGTGTTTACACTTCTCAAAAAGAGACACAGATATTAGCCAAAAAGATCTGCATTAAAACTGGATAAAAGCATGGAGAACTCCTCATACATGTGCTAATCAGACAGTCATCTAGAACATTAACTAAAATGTGCTTGGGGGCAGATACTAGACCCATACTTTCCTTAGGGTAGGGAACTTCCACTTTTCATCAACATAGGGAAATCCCAGTGTAGAAACTCCCTTTGCAACTCCTCAGTAATTGGGAGTTTCAGAGGGTGCCTGGGGCAGAGACTAAACTTCAACCCAAAGTTTGCTGACTTAGAATCACGTGGAATCAGAGACTTAGAGCTGGCGAGTACCTGAGGAGTCCTCTAGTTCCCCCCTCTCACTTTATTGATGTGGAAACTGGCCCAAAAGCCAACACTCTTTTCCTCAACTCCCTCTGCATCATTCAGACACCAGAAGGATTAAGCCACTATTTTAAATAACAACAAAGATTTCTTAATGTATTCGAACACTCTGGTGTAGTTTTCCACAACTGATTTCCAAAATTACCACCATGAAAACATAATTTATATAATGAGATGGGGAGAGAAACGCTGTCATTTAGGGGACAGCTGTAGCAATAAATTTGAGTATTTTTCTATCTTCTGTTTCCTGGTAAATTAAAAAGTGTTGGTGGGGGAAGGGAGGAAGGGCAGTAATCACTCCGGTAAATGAAGACTTTGAGCTCAGAATTGATTTATTTTTCCACCCCACCCCAGCCTTCATTAGGAGGAAAGCAGCACCCAAAGTGTATGCTAAAATATTTTCTTTCAAAAGCACAAGCCAAGTTGGTGTACAAATATTACCTAGCCACATTTTTAATGGAGCCCCTGAAGCATATTAACATCATTAAAGATCTTTCCATAACCCTGCTGATTTACTATCCCTTTTCCAGTAAGATACAATAAGCAGAAAACTCAATCTAAACATTTTGGGGCACTGCTGAAAATTATTATGGTTTCCCTTGAGTAACTAATTAGCCACAAACAGCTAACAACTGCTGTTTAGGACGCAGACATTATTATATAAGCTTTCATTTCTACTATGGGAAATGACCTGAGGCATATGGGCCAGGAGGTGGGAAGGGGGTCAGTTTTCCTGCTGTTTTTAATACAATTTTTATTTTAGTTAAAACTGATATTCCACTAATGGGAGAGTGTTTCGAGGGTATCAATGTCTACCAAAGATGTCTTCCTGGCATGGGCAGCAGGGAATACAAACATAAGAGGTGGCTTCATCTCAGTAACCAGGCCTATTTTGGGGAATACTAAGATAAGAATATGTGTAGCATGCAGCAAAATTCAGAACAGATGTTTTCTAATGTGCATTATTTTTATGTGCTTGTAAATAGTGTGCCCTTCCAAAACATGATTTTTTTTCCTTAAGACATCTTGTGGAAAAGAAAAAAAAATAAGTAGATGTGAGATGTAAATAGATTTCAGTTTTGCAATTGAGGAAGTTGCTTGGAAGGAGAATCTTTTCTTCCCATGTATCAGAGAATTTCAATTTTTGTCACTATAGGAATGGAGAAGAGCTTCATGATTGGATTGAAGTTGATTTTTCCACAGCATAGTGCCTAGCACAGTAGGCACTTAATACATGCTTATTGACTTATAGACTTTTTTTTTTTAATGTGTGTATAAGCATTTTGGAATCCTTGCTTTGGTAGAATTCCTAAACTCTTTACATGCTTCAGTGTTTTGAAGACCAGAACAGAGCAGCATACCATGGAAATGTTTGCAGGCATAGGCAAGATAAAAAGTAACATTGGATTATATCCATGTTTATACTTTCTAGACTTGTAGCTGCTTTGGGGTTCATAATACATTGTTCCCTGCAACCCTGAGGAAACCTTAAAAGACCATTAGGAGTCCTTATTAAGTTTAGAAGCTATAAAATAACATTTCTTTTTCTGACCTTCTAAGATTTGTCTAAAAGACTAATCCAAACAACAAATTGCTACCTTTCCCTGATAGAGTAGCAGCTGCACATTCAACAAATAATGCCATTGCCTATAATCTCAAAAAGTACATATTCCTGGTAGGAGTGTTGTGATGTTTCCTGCCTTCCCCCATCCCACTAAATCCAATGTCCATCTAAACCCACCCTTGTTTAAAATTTATGCCTTAGTGAAACGAAGCAAAAATGATTTCTAAATGGGAAGAGTGCCATCCTAACAGATGGGCATGATTGTAAAGAGCTAGGAGATGATGTATGTATATCAAGAGTGAATATGTGGAGAAGGCAGGATTGAGCTGGCACTATTGAAACATCTGTCTTTCCTGAGATTGGGCCCCTAGATTACAGTGAAGAGAACATTAATACTAATGCATTAAGTGGTAGAAAGAGGCAGTTACTCTAGTGGAGTTAAAATTGTGTCCTTTAATCTTTGCAATGGGCAGCCCTAAGATTCAGGCCTCAACTGACTGTAATTACATGGCTTCTAGAGATATCCATGATAGAATAGCAGGAGAGTGCTTAAGTGTTCTGTTAACTAGTACGTGCATTTTGTAGTCAAATGCATACTTTTCAATATCTTTATAAATAATAAAAAGCTTTTCAGATTTCTCATGTCCTTTTTGTAGCATGGCTTGCTTTTCAAATAGTGCAAATATCAGGAGATAAGACATGGAAAGTTAACATAGCACACTGCAACTTGCTGGAGATCTGTTCAGAAGTACTATAGATATAGATTATTAGTTAAATTTGAGTGTTGCTCCCTTATGGATTTTAATATATCTACCAACTGTTTTCAATATATGTGCTGGTTTTTGAGCCAGAAAAGAACCCTTAGGAATAGGTAACTCTAAACTTAAAAAAAACTCCAAAAACTATCTTATCTGGTATACTGATAACTTACTTAATTTTGCTCCCATCTTTTTGTTTATGAAAACAGCTACTATTTGTGATTATGTATAGTGACACAATTATTTTTTATGATGGGTACACTCCTAGATTCTTATCAAAATGGATTAGAATGCAACATTCTACTTCTTTGGCTTTACTTGAATCTTAGAGAGTGAAGGTGCTCCTTTGGAAAGCAAGAGGGAGAAATGAAACAAAATCATCAATGTACTAAGAAAGTAAGCATCAAGGTGAATTGTACACAAAGGAACAAACAAAAGTATGTTAAATCAGAAATGGAGAGGGGAAGACAACATTAAAGAGACTTTAAAAAAACAGAACAATTTTAAGTAAGTGAAATTAAATCTCCAGGAGTCAAAGTGGCAGAAATTAAGATAACTACCATTCTACTATCCTGTAGCAGTTCAACAATCATTTCACTTTAGAATTTACTCAACAAATCCAATTCAATAAACATTTATTAGGCACCCCCTTTATACAAAGCCTGTTCCAGGCACTGTGACTACAAAGGCAAAATAAGTAATAATTCCTGCCCTTAGGAGCTTGCAATCTTCTGGGAAGATGTCATATAGTTTAGGGAGAACTGTCAGGAGGCTAGTATGACTAGAACATGACTACATGCAGGGGATAGTAATATGAGATGGAGGGAAATATTGAAAAAGCCTGTAAAAGTCATGCTAATGGTTTTATACTTTATCCTAGTGACGACAGAGAGCCATTGAAGATTTCTGAATAGAGATAATAATGGTGATAATAATGGTAATAAGGTGTTTTAGTAGACTATTGTATAAGTTTAAGAAAAAGAAAATAGGTCCTTAACAAGAGTAGAGACCCACACACAGAAAAAAGGAAACATACATTTTATCATCACCAGAAATAGGAGAATTTGGAGAAAGGTAAGTTTTAGGGGAAATATAATCAATTTTATTTTGGATATATAAGAATTTGGTCAAAAAAGTTATAACAAGATCTCAACAGGTCTTAAGATCATAACAACACATTTTTCCTAGTTTTTAAGAATATTGGTCTAGAAAGACAAAAAAAAAGGCTCATCCTAAATTTTTTTGAGAATATACTAGAATAATCTATCTATTGAACTATCATAGAATTATAGAATGTTAGAAGAGAACATTTAATTTATGAAAGGGGAAATTGAGGCCTAGATAGTGTACATATCTGGTCTAAGATCACACAGCCAGTTTCATGATAGAAATGAGACAAGAATCCAGCTTTTGGTCTATGCTCTATGTTCTATGTTCTTTTTTTAAAAATTTCCTCCTCTTTTACCTCCTCTTCCATCACGGCACCCTATTTCTTTCAACCTTTAAACATCATTATTCTAGACTTGTTTCCTTTTCTCCTAGAAATACTAGGCTTTGACACATTTTTTTTTTAAATGGGGATAATAATATGTAAGGTAGAGTGTCTCTCCCTACCCCCAGGTAATCACAAGATGCTAATGAGGTATCTAACTCTAAAGAGGAGTCTGTGCCCTGATCCCTTTATGAAGTGTGAACATATTTTTGATTGGGTCAAGAAGGAAACAATGCCATTGGTTGAACAAACAACTTGGGTCCTTTAAATAGCTAAACCCTAGACTAAATTTCAGCAATTCCTAGAGCTGTGAATGTGTGCTTTGTAAATCTTAAAGTAGTATATGAATTATCACATATATGTAGAAAATTAATTATCATGATCACCATGAAATGACAACACTTGAGCTTTCAAAATATTAAATAATAATAAAATCGTGCTTATTTTACTAATCTGAATTTCTTCTTTCTTTTCATTTCTTACAAATTCATTTAAGGCAAAGAAAAGTCTAAAACTTCACACTTCCTTCTGATAGTGTGATAACGGCAATGTTTTATATAGAAAGAGGCTAGCACTTTTTTGGTCATGACTCATGAAATAATGCCTTTTTATTTATATCATTCCTCTTCCCTTCCCTCCCCCCACCCCCAATTCCCTTAAGAGCAACTAGGTCTCCAAGGTGATTTCAATGCCAAAATGACCCCCAACACAGACACCTACCCCTTCACCTACCTTCCTTCCTCTTCCTTCTTTTCTTTCTTTTTTTTTTTCCTTTCTTGGCCTGAGGGGACTAGAACAAATGGAAATCTTATTAGTTTCTATACCAATGCTAGAAAATCCCTCCAAATTATTTTAATTTTAGAAGTTACTTTGTAAAGGGGAGGGTAGGATCTAGAGGTGTAATTTAAAAAACTGCTACAGAATCAGAAAACTTCAGAGTTGTAAGAGATCTGGAGGTCTTCCAGTCAAATTACAGAAACAAGATTCCCATTTACAAGTTGTAGCCCTGCCTCCACTTAAGATGTCTAGAGATGGAGAACTCTACCTACATTCAGAGACAGCTCATTCAGCTTTTGAACAACTCGAATTCCTGGAAATTGCCATGTTATGTTGAAACTAAATCTGTCTCTGTAACTTCCATCCACTGAGGAAAAAGCAGTAAGCATTTCTATAGCACCTATCATGTACCAGGCACTTTGCTAAGTGCTTTACAAATATTGCATTGTTTGATCCTCACAACAACCCAGCTATATAGGTACTGTTGTTATCCTGGGAAACCGGGCAATCATGTTAAATAATTTGCCCAAGGCTACATAACTAGGAAGCATCTAAGGCAATATTGGAACTCAGGTCTTCCTGACTCCAGGCCTACTGCTCTATCGACTGCACCACTTGCTCCCAAACTTCCCATTAGAAGTTAGGTAAAACAAGTCTAATTTCTCTTCTGCCTGAAAGTCTTTTAAATCTTCAAGAAACTTGCATCTTCTCCTCTAACATCCCTTCTTCCTTCCATCAGTATGACATGATTTTAAATTCATTTGCCATTCTGCTCACCCTCCTCTAGACCCACTACAATTTGTCATTGTTCTTCCTAAAATTTGGCACCCCAAAATGAACACAATATTTCAGATGTGAGCTGATTCTTAGTATGGAAACTTTTTCTACCAATGCTGATTGGCAACTCTTCTATAACTTATTTGCCTGGGGCATTGAGAGCTCATGTGACCTGTCTATGAATACAGAGTCTCAGAGGCTGGACTTTAATCTAGGACCAATGAATTTATGTGCTGACCAGATATCCATTTATTACAATGCAGTCTCTCATGTTCTTTTAGAATTTTTTTTAAGAGTAAATTAAGAATTGAGAAATACAGGATAGTTCTAAAGGGGACAAATTGATAGGTACAGAAAATCAAAATACCACATTCTAGCATTCAAATTTTTCTTTTTCAATATTTTGGCCAAATTCTAATGTTAACCTTCTTTATCTCCATTTTCTTTACATGTAAAAATGTTTGGACTAGATTGGGAATTCATAACCTGTGGTGTGTGAATTTGATTTTTTAAAAGATTTTAATAACTATATTTTAACATTAATTTCCTTGGTTCTAGGTATTTTACTGTAAGCATTTAAAAAACTGAAAAGCAGTCTGTCATCCTCATCAGACCTCCAAAGGGGTTCATGGTGGGTAAAAAAGATCTAAGAACTGAACTAGATCTCTATGCTTCTTTCCACCTATGATATTGTCATTCATTAAGGTTCTATACACAAAGGTAAGATAAGACAATCTACTAATGAAATATAAAAAGACAACTGTATAATGCCATTTTTAAAAAAGTCAAAATTATTCAACAAGCTATAAATTCTTATCAGGAATATTTAGTTAACAGGCTGAGCAAAGTAAACTGAGTTGAATTTGTCATTTCTGGCTTTCTACTAGCTGCCCAGCTTTTTCTATAATCAGAGAAAGCTTAATTCCTAAAACAGAGCATCTTTCTCACTCAGGAAAAACATAACGGGGAGTCATACCCCAAGATTAGAGTACATACAAAATTTCAAGAGGGTTTTCCAATGCTCTACTCACAACGAGCACATCATCAATATCTTCTTTCTGGGATTGTTTGGAAAGCCCCAGTTGTTCTGTCAGAACCCAGAAAGCAAGAAGATCAGTTTTCCAGGTACCAATTATCAAAAGCTAAGCCCAGCTACCAGATCCCTTTCCCATATTTCCAATTCTCTGACAACATCCTGATCTTGTCATACTATCCCTCACTAGTAGAAGACTCAAATCTGTAAACTGATATGCTACTTATCCTGCATACTTTTTTTTATTAGTTTAGTAAAGGTCTCTACATTCATGATAGAAGTTCACTGTAGAGAATTTACATTTGTCATGACAAAGTCAATTTCATAAAATCATTGAGAAGAGTTTGGAAAATGACAGCTGGATTGCAGTCTGCTTTTGATTCTAATTATTGCTTGACTCAGAAGCAATTGACCAAGTAACCCACATTACAAATAAATTTTCATTTGTTTGAAAAAAGAGTAGATTCATGTCACAGTGAGGAATCACAGAAACTTAGAGCTGGAAGGGAATTCGCATCTAATCTAATCTATACCTTAGTAAAAATCTCTACATCTCTAAGGAGTAGCCATCCCTTTCTGGGTCAGCAAGCTACATAGTATCAAGAAGGTAGCTTTTATCCCTTCTTTAAATTGTCCTGAAGGCCAGGGTTGGCAGTCTTCACCTAAGTAAGCAAGGCTCCATTTATTCCAGTGGCTTTCCATGAGTGAGGAGTGCAGAATCAAGGCTCTTGTGTAAATAGACTCTCAACATTATCTATAATGAAAGAAAACAGATGTAACCTTAAGAGGCTGATTGTGATTTTTTGGGGGGAGTTGTTATTGTTTTTTTTCTCCAAGGGGCCTCTTAGGTCTCTCCCTTTGCTCTAGTGACAGCTTCCAGGTGATATGGCCAACGCTGAAGCAAGTAATCTGCCCTCAGGGGGGTATGCATTGTCTCCAAATGGGCACTCCTCCAGGGAAGGGTTCAGCAAGTAAATCAGAGCCAGAAAGTCTGTGTCACTATGAGTTTTAGCTGAAGCTGATAGCTTGAAGGACCCAAAGTCTAAAGACTTGAGTCTTTAGGTAGGTGTATGATTATGGGCTTTGAAAATGAAGCCCTTGCAAAGGGTTCAAGTGCCTGGAGTATAAAATAGCTATTAATTAGGACAGCCAACATTCAAGTGTTTCAGTAATGAGTAATGGTTTAAAAGCAAATGGAATTCATTTCCAATGTATGGTAGATATTTAAGCGAGTTAAAATGGTGGCACTTGAAAAAACATAAAAAGCAGTTGCTACGGCATTTTTCCAACTGAGTTTCAGATTTCCTCCATGAAGCAAAATATAGAAAAATAAGAATTGAATTTAAAAAAAGTGTAGTAAGCACCAACTATGGGTAAAATACTATGCTAGTTAACTACTGGATAGCATAGTACACAAAGTGTGCTCTTAGGATCATAGAATGATATAGTTACAGATGAAAGGGACCTTAAAAGTCATTTAGATGAATTCCTTCATTTTAGAAATGGGAAAACTGAGATCTACAAAGGTTTGCCTAAGTGTCAGAAGCAGAGTTGTGCAAGATAAAATTAAAGGACTTGTTTAGCCAGGTCCCCAGGATGCAAGTGTCAGGGCAGGGGTCTAGAATCTTCTCTTCTGATTCAAAATCCAATACTCACCACCATACCATAATGCCTCAAACCACCTGGAAAGTGCTTTGAAACCTTTAAAGGGTTTCATAAATGGCCATTTCTAAAACTAATAAGCTTATGCTTGATTACTAGCTATTGCTGATATTGTAGTTAAGATTATTTTTTAGGTATGGGGTGGGGGGGAATTAAGAGCCCTGGAGGATTCTTCTAATTTTGAGGTTGTCTGATTCTGTGCTAATAATAATAAAATAATAATTTCTGACCTTGATGTGATCAGCACAGTACCATCTGCAAACAGCAGCATCTTGAGGGCTTCACCATCCACAGGGAATCTCTTTTCCATTTGTTCCCTACAAAAAGGATCCTTTATGCAAATTCTCGTGTGCATTTCAAGGGGTAGTATTTTATGGGAGTGTACCTTGAACCCAACCAAGGTTTTTAGTAACTTAACACATTTATATAGAGGGAGAAGTTGAAACATTGCTTTAGAGTTCAATTAAGACCATTTCTAAGATGATATAATAGTAGGAAAATCCACAGGCATTTTGAAAATGTCGTTAGGTTGAACCAAATTAGTGAGAAAGGGAACGACACCCATTTTTTTTTTGCATGCCCAGACAATGAATTTTTATTGCACTGTTTTCATCTTTGTTTTACTTGTGAGATTGCAATTCCACATGCAAAATTTCCTACCCGGAGACTTCATGGAGAATCATTGTATAATCTAGAGGAGATGTTGAATCTAGAAAATTATAAATAACCCATCCATTAATTAATAAATGTATGACAGTGCCTTGAGTATAATCACTCTTTCAGGAAGAGTATAGATTTATGCAAAATTAATGGTAAGGTTATTATTTTACTCATCATATCTTCTCTAGGAAGAGTACTGTGATAAAGAATATGACCTGCCTAGTAAATTTGAGCAATTTTTTTACAAGGTGTTATAGAAGATTAAGGGGGAAAAAATCTGTCAAAAGAAACTTTTTTATATAGAATTAGTTCTAAAACAAAAACCAAAAAAAAATCTCTCCCAACTCTTCTGACCTGTGTGAGCTTTGGAAAGCTTCCTAATTTCTGTGGTCCTCAGTTTCCTCATCCATAAAATGAAGAGTTGAACAGTAAAATCTGTAAGATCCCTCCTAACTCTGAGCCTATGATCCTTTCACATAATAGCATGAAATTGACTAAGAGAAACTTTCTAAAGAAACTAGGGTTTTAAAATGTATAGGCCAGCTTGGTAGATAGGTTAATGCCATATGTCATACTTCTTGTGCGCAAGATTCAAGCAATTCTTTCTTCCAAAGGCTTCAACAAGCACTGCTACATTATATTCATCACCAAGCATAAATGTAGACTCATACTCAAACATATTCCAAATATCCAAATATCATATCCAAATAATTTGAACCATTTAAAAGGTTCAGACAGATAACCACAGTGTTTTTTTTTAATTGTATTCTTTTGCAAGTTGAAAGACAGCTGGATAATGCAGTTTATAGAATGATGGACTTGGAAGTTTGAAAGACCTGAGTTTGAATCCCAACTCAGATACCTATTAGTTAGGTGACTCTGGGTAAGTCACTTAAATTATTTCATCTACAAAATGAATATAATAATAGCATTTACCTTCCAAACTCTTGTGAGGATTAAATATGTCTTATAAGTCTTAGAGTCCTAAATAAATATTAGCTACCATTATTAATTAAGAATGGGGATCTTCTTAGGCTCCACTTTCTTAAAACAATTCATTGTTATAGTGGCTCTCCATTCTACTTCATGTACCTGCCTACCAGAAACAGGGAAGAAGGAGGAAATAGAAGTCTGAGATAACACAAGAAACAGTTGAATAGTTCTTTTTTATTAGTGAGAATCTTGCAGCTGATTGAAAAAGATCTTAGATATAGCTGAATTAAGAAATTATTATACAAAAAGGTTACCAGAATTAGCATATATAAAAATATGCAATGTATAAATAAATGATGTATAAATATGTAGTATGAATGTAATATAAAAATATATAAAAATATTGTAATGTTTTAACAGTATACTGAAGATCATCTAGAAATCAAGATCTCAGATTTCTCATTTTACGTATAAGAAAGCTAAGACTTGGATAGGCTGTGAATGAATGAATGAATGAATGAATGAATGAATGAATGCATGAAAAAGCATTTACTAAATGCTAGCTAGGTCCCAGGAACTGCCTAAATAAACCCTAGTATTGTTTTTCAGGCTTTACAATAAAAGAGAGGATTATAGCGGTTTGATGCCAAACTCAAAATCAGAAGGTGCTGGGTCTATGTCCTTCCTTAACACAATTTAACAAGGTAAACTCTAAACTGTCAAAATGGACAAGTCACTCAGTCTCTCGTAAACTCTCTAAAATGATGTTGCAGAGGAGCTGTTATCTACACCAGTGGTGGGAGCTTTTACACAAGAATTTCCATATATAGATGAGGTCGTAGGTTCAGATCAAACCATGTTAATCTTCTAATGCTAAGTGGACACCTTTATAACGAACCTGAAAAGTCACCTAAGTAAGTCTGCAATAAACTACCTAAGTAAAATATTCCCTTAGGAAGTAAGACCCAGGAACATTCCTAAAACATGGAGACAGGGCAGATTTTTTTTACGTAACTGCAATAAGCTCACCATCAATAACAATGCTTTATAAGAACAAGAGACAAGGCAGTAAGAAATGAATTGCATGATACTTTTATGTGGTTATACCAGTAATCAAGAAATTGAGGAACAAAGAAGCTGCCTGTGGAGGCAGTCTTTTTTCTCTTTTTTCTTTCTTTCTTCTTCTTTTTTTCTTTTTCCTATACCCTGCAGCGGCCATCTGTGTGAATAGCTCACAGAAAGTCCTTCACAGACTGTAATTAACAGGTTTCATTGTACAGTATTGCATTTCTTGGTAATTCACATGTTGTGTAACCCATGTGCACCCTTCAATCTAAACCACAGACTGTTTATTTATTCACAGAATGTTAATCTGGCTTACAAGGATGGTGTGTGAAATTTGGTAAGGAAATTCCTAGGAAGCCTCTCTTACATGGATCAACCAGATCAAGGACGATGCAAAAGGAGGGGGAAAACAGTTGTAAAGGTCAGGGCTTCTATAGAGCTCTATGGAAGTGTGAATCAGAAAACTCCAGCCACATCCAAAAGTCAAAGTACTAGGAATGTCAAAAAATAGCTTCTTGGCACATCTGGTGTAGGCTTTTTCCAAGTAAACACAACAATGGAAAATGGGCCAGAACTGGGGGAATGAGGGGATCTTCAATTGATCTGTACTTGAGTACACAGCCACTTGGAGACAATGTACTCAGGAAATTGACTTTATTGTGAATGAAAGTTATTTTTTTTCTTTTTAAAGCAGCAGGGAAATGACTGCCTCTGATGGTTAACACACTGCTGCTCTTACTCACCACTATCTTGTAATACAACATACGTAAGCAAACCACATCACCATGCTACAAAAACACTAACAGACCTTCTCTATGTTGCCTTCTCTTCTGCCCTGCATGTCCTGATTAATACTAAGCAATGAGCTGCTTGCCATAGAACTAGCATATTGCTTTTACTGTTCAGTGCCCCCTAGACTCCCATCAGATACCTACAAATTACAACTCAACTGTTTAAGGAAGTTATTAGAACATATGCTTGTGAATATTATCATTTTTTAATGGTGACTGTGAATGTTGATGCTTGCCTCCTATCATTGCTTGATAGTATAAGCCATAGCAATGTCTTAGTTATAAGGTTCAGGGTTGATTCACATTCATATAAATCCGTTGATTTCTAGAAAAATCTTGTAATAATTATATGGCAGGCATCATGAACATGACTATATTTAATGATGGAGGAACATTCTGAATATTTTTGTCATGCAGATCCTGGCCTGATGAGATAACAGATAACCAACAATTTGCCCATTCACTTGGAAGAAGTCTCTATGCCCAATTGCTCTATTAGAACAAAAAATAAATTCTGGTCCTGTAAAAAGAAAAATATTCACAAATAACAGTAAATACCAGACAAGTATTCTGGTAAAGTATAAGTAAATATTCTGGTAAGTATACTAAGTATAATTTTTTGTTTGAACCATTGTTTGAACTCTGGAATGAAAATATTATGGAGATATAGGGTAGGGAGGGGAACCTATGATTTCATTGGTAGAGGAAATCCCTAGATGAGGGAACTTCCTCTACCCAAGTAGATGGGCACACTGCCCAGGGTGACACAGCCAGCATGTATTAGGGGCAGGCCTTGAACCCATATCTGCTTCCCTTTGAGGCCAGCTCTCTGTCTACTATGCCTCTATGTATGTTGTCTATCTTCATATAAGAAAGATATCTAAAGAATCATTTTAGGTCAACAAAGATGTACTAAGTATAGGGCATAGAACAGCATATATATGTATCTATATTCATGTGTGTATGTATATACACATATTTATATGTGTGTATGTATATGTCAGCATAATATATAGCAAACAATACAATAATGTTGTAGTATAAAATATGTATATTCATAATAGATTATAGAATACACTGAGTACATAAAACTATCCATTTTCCCTAGTGGTTTATGTACTGCTTGCATTTTCAAACATTTTATATAGTTTCCAACAGTATTTTGGAAATAAAAGATGGTTTCCTTTATTTTAAAGCTTTAACTGGTCATTACAATCTTCTCCATTTTATGATTAATAAAAAAAGAAATGTGATGATATTGAAATGAACAGGATAAAGATAGAGCATACATAATTATTAATACCCTGAGAGACTTGGAATGTGCTAGCACTAATGAGAGCTTGTTATAACATAGGTATTACTGGTAAAATTAGGGTAGAGATTTCTATAGTCTGGAATCAGGCCAATGGGGATTTGTATTGCTGTATTAACAAACAGACTTAAAATAAGGAAGCATTATATGCCAATATTCTTACTGGAGAAATGAAGATGTTATATTTAAGATGACAAAGGAATAATCTTCATTCATGTATATCAGTCTCTAGGATCTATATAACATTTTGTTTTATTTTGCATGTTCTTTTCATGAAGGGCATGACAAAAATGTTCAAAACCATCATTTGATGCAAAGACTTTAAAAGGGAAACATTTAATCCACATAAAGGGAATGAGAAATCCAGGATACTCATAGTCACTCAAAATGATAGTCCAGTTCTTTGACACAAAGATAGATTTATCCAAGGCTCAAGATATCTTTACACTGATTTTTTTCTTTTGCATTTTAACGTACAAATGACATTTCTATTCACTAAGATTCAAAAGCAGCTAAATAACAAATAGTACTAGTAATAATTACTTAATTTCTCCAT